TGTATATATATATGTGTATATATACATATATGTATATGTATATATATATATGTGACATCACTTTCTGTCTGTGTGTAAGGGGGCGTGGACACGGCAGCAGTGGGCGGAGTCTTTGACATCTCCAACGCCGACCGTCTGGGCTTCTCTGAGGTGGAGCTGGTTCAGATGGTGGTGGACGGAGTCAACCTGCTGGTGGACATGGAGAAACGTCTGGAGGCTGGAGACAGCATCGATGACATCATACCTGAGCAGAAGTGACCTGTCACTGTGACCTCTGCCCCCCACCCCTCACTGTAACCAATCAGAAGCCGTCCTGAAGACGTTTAGAGCCGCTCAGCTAGACTTCACTTGAAGGATTTTCTGTTTCCTGTTGGACCCATCCAACACCTGAAATATCTAATAAAGTCTGTGTGGCCCCGACTAAACGCTGCTGTCTTCATTCTGCACAAAGTACACGACACAAGTACAAGTACTCATCATGCAGAAGAACATCTAGATATTACTGATGTATTCATGTGTTTATATACCTCTGAGATGTAGTACAGTAGGAGACAGTGAAGTACTGGTACCTTGACTGTACCAACTACAGGAGGAGGAGACGGTGAATATCTGTTGACTCTGAGCAGACATTTTCAGCCTCGAACGCATTAAAACATATTCAAGAAATACAACTGGGGAGGCTCGACTGTCTTCACTGGCGTCCGTGAATAGGACTTCTTGCTGGAACTAAAACACACTGATATACTGAACAACCATGAGATTAAACTCTTTAACAAAGAAAGGAGGATGCACTTTGTCTTTAAATAGTGAACCGCAGCTCTGGTGAGTTAAATGTTTGTTTTTACATCTGCAGTAGCTTTAATATGCTTGTTTATATATTATTTGTACAACTTGTTTTTATGAAGATTGGATTTTTGTTTGGTTTTATATGCGATAGGAACTATTGTTACGTCCAGTGTTGCTCTGGGGACACATTTAGTTGGTGCAAGTGTTGCCAAGTTGGCAACTTCCTCACTAAATCTGGCGACTTTCCAAAACCCTCATGGAGACAAATCTAGAGACTTCTCTGGTGTTGTGACTCTGACGTTAAAGCTCGTACATTCTGCTCTGGTGAACGAGCAGCGGTGCTGCCGTGAGCTCCAAAGCTCTCGCAGGTCAGTCTCACAGCAGCCTCACGCTGCAGTCAGAAACAGAAACAAATCATAACACTGCTGTGTTTCAGCTGCAGGACAGCAGTGAAGGCCCAGGTATAGAATGCACTGATAAACATATACAATAAAATAACAGCATCTGGGTGTCTGTGGGAATTATAATGGGGCTATTGGGGATTTTTATTTCATACAGAAACAAATCAAAAAACCATGCGAAATAGGCATTGGAAGATTAAAACAGTCGTGCATATGACAAGTCAAGACTTCAAACTTTGATTATTTTTCAAAGATTCTTTAACAATGTATGCGTCATAAGGTTTTGGATATCTATAAACAAGTAAACCATGCAGAACTTATATTGTAAAACTGTTTTCTCCCTCAGAGCAGCTCAATAAATAATTCATATACTTTCAGACGTATTCTGTGTTTATTGAAAACGTCTTTTTAACACCAAAGTTTCCAGTGTGTCTGCAGCTGTAGTGTTTAACCAGCAGGAGGCAGCAGAGAGTCATGCAAGCGTGCACGAGTCCCTGATGATTGACAAACACTACAGTATTTAATGATACATTACTGAATAATATACTGTAACATAACAGGTGTTCAGTATAACGAGTGTTAGATTCAGTGAAGACTAGTTTCATTGTTTTCACTCATTCCTGTCTGTTAATGTGTCGACGAAACCAAACACAGCAGCTCTTCATGTCTTCATCATCTCATTGATCTTTTTATTGATCCATTTCACTTTCACCTTGCAGAAGAACGGACGTCTCTCATTGGCGGAAACGCCGAGGAGGCGGTTTTCCTCCACGCTCCGCCTGATGGAGCGAACGTCAGCAGCTGATAGGCCGGTTTTCAGAGACAGCAGCGCTGACACGTGACCGTCACTGAGGAGACACGACATGGAGGAGAGATCAATTCAACACCCGGTGGACAGGTGAGACGCTGCAGGTGTTTTGTGAACACGACTTCTCAGTGTTTTTCCGTATTTCACACACTTGTGACACCTGAACCCAAACCTGCCGCACCTGGCGTCACCTATGGCAACCAGGTGTTTGTCACACAGCTGATCCAGGTCACAGCTTCAGTGTTTGAATATGACAACATAAACTGACCTATTTAAAGCCCAAAGAACCCACCAGCAGCACAGGTGTGTGCAGGTACACCTGTGTCATGTGTCCCCCTGACTTCCTGTCTAAAAATATTCAAAACAATAATTCATCTGTCAAACAACCCGAGACTCTGAAAACTTTTTAGTTCAAGTCGAGACATTAAATGAGGTCGCCGGTTCCCTCTGTACCCGAGGTCGCCGGTTCCCTACGTACCCGAGGTCGCCGGTTCCCTACGTACCCGAGGTCGCCGGTTCCCTACCTGAGGTCGGGGAACCTTCTGGCCAGACTGACGAGCTCCAGCTGAACACTTCCAGGATCCTGTAGACGAAGAACCTCAGCGAGGCTGCAGAACATCTCACCGAGCCACTGAGTCTCAGTGCAGCCCTGAGGACACAGACAATACTGTGAGGATCCTGGTTCCCAGGAGAGACCCGGATCAGGAGAGACCAGGATCAGGAGAGACCAGGATCTCAGGTAGAGTCTCACCCCCTCGCTGAAGAACTCTGTGATCTTTCGGGCATCTTCAGTCATCCTCTGAGCTCCGCCCACCTGCTGCTCTCTGCTCTTCGTCCTGGTCTTCATCATCCTCTTCACATACTGAAGTGCCAGGTCCTGATGGAGGACACACAGCAGGGCCTGCAGACAGACAGGTGGTCAGACAGACAAACAGACACGTGGACAGACAGGTAAACTGTCTCACCTGTCTGCATGCTGGTTCCAGGTCCTTCAGGTGGATCAGCTGCTGGTTCAGGTCGTCCAGCAGAGAGTCGACAACAGGAAGTGACTCGTCTAACCAGACGGACGTCCACAGCTGACGGAGACTCACCTGTACACATTGACTATGAGACTCACCTCTACACATTGACCATGAGAGTGATCGATTCATAGGATTCTGGGAAAATTGAATAATCTAAACAGACTTCTGGAGTCTCATCAACTATAAAAGTGGAGATAAAATCCCACAGGTGATCTGGAGAAGGTTCTTATGAGCTTCATGAACTTTTTCATCAAACAGTCACCTCAGATCAGATTTACACCCTGAACCCCTTCATGGACTAACCTGTCCACCACAGGACCATATGTTTGTCCCTCTCTAGTCTACACCTACATTAACTACAGGAACCAGCTGGTCTCAAGGCTCTACTCACAGACCAGGTTCTACTCTATGCAGATGACCTGCTTCTGTTGGCTCCTACTGAACAGGACTACAGCAAGTCCTGGACCTGTTGCAGTACAGCCAGACCTGGACCTAGTAACAGAGCTTCACTTTTAGTGTATTTGTACCTTCAGCTGGATGTGAATGGGACAGGTGAGACACCTGTAGCCACAATCCTTCAGGGCCGACAGAGTGTCCAGACAGCGACGTCGCTGCTGCTCCGACAGACTTCCTGTTTGACTTGTGATGTAATCCCTGATGACAGTCATAGAGAACCAATCAGAGCCCACTTCCCCACCACCTGCCTCATCTAGCAGTGACCCTGTACAGGTGTGTTGTCGTACCTGAGCTGCTGCTCACAGACCAGGTGAGCCTTGATCACTGAGCCAATGTTCACGTAGTTTCCCTTCACAAACTCCTCCACACACGTCTTATAGCTGAAACACAAGAGTATTTAATGTCACATCACACCTGGAGCACGCCTGGATCACGCCTGGATCAACGAGCCCCGTTAATATTCTACCTGCTGAGGAAGCTGTCCAGGTGAGCTGTGATCTTCTGAGCTTTGCTCTGGTCTCTGATCACACAGCTGAAGTCCATCAGGGAGCCGTTCATCACCTGGAAACACAAACACATGTCCAGGTACACCTGCTACACACATCGCTACCTGGAAGTGTCTCACCTGTGTCACAAACCGTGCCGAACGGCCATGACAAAAAAAGGGAGACGCATTCAATGAAACAGTTGATTAATTATTTATTAGGTTTAAAGTAATATAAAAGACAAACATAAACTAATAGTGACATGTGAAGTCAGTCATTTCAGCAGTGTAGGTGAGTGGAGGCGTGTAAAGTGTATAAACAAACCATAACCGCAACAGAAACCAAAGTGGGTGTCTCAGGAAGGAGCGAGAGACCAACTGAGAACCCAGAGGGTTTTTGTACCGAGTGCTCTGGCACACAGGGCCAGTGTTGCTAATGGCCTCAGGTGCTTCCACTCTGCCTGACGACCCTCTGCCACACCCACCTCCACACCTGCAAGGAAGGCAGCCAAACGAACAGGCAGAGAGGGTCGTCACACCTGTGTCTCACCTGTATGACATCTATAGCCAGTGGACTGAAGAAGAACTGGTCGATGAGTTCAGGTTCCTGGCCGCTCAGCCAGCATTCCTCTTCTTTCTTCAGAGCTGCGTTCAGCCACAACTTCACTTTGTCCTGAAGGAAAGAAAACACCCTTAGTCTTTAACTGACGCTTCAACTCCTTTCAGTGTGAACACTCTAACAGATACTTCATCAGGTGTTAAACGTAAAGTAACAGAAAACCACATGAAAGGACTCTTCTGACTGGGACCAGAACCCATCAGCCTGCTGGTCTTGACCTCTTTGTGGGTCAGGTACTGGTCCTCTAGGTGGTTCAGGTGGTCCTGCAGCAGCAGAGAACCAAGACAGGCCGTCTTGATCTTTCCCTGCAGCTCTTCATGGGTTAATATTTCCCTGCAGGAGGAAACAAACACACCTGAGACTTTACAGGTAAAAACTGGATCCAGATCAGTTAAGTTCTTTGATCCATCCAGCTGAGACCCTGAAGACCACCAGAGACTCAGCTGAGACCCTAAAGACCACCAGAGACTCATGTGAGACCCTGAAGACCACCAGAGACACCATGACTGATCATTCAGAACCTCCCATGCAGAGTTAAATGCGTTTGGTGGACTCACTGTGGATAATAGTGGTTGATCCAGAACAGCAGGTAGCTGCAGTCGTCTGGTTCCAGTCCAGAACCAGCAAGTCCAGTCAGCCGAGCACAGAAGTTCTGATGGAAGAGTCCAGCATACAAGTTCAGGATGTCCATCTGTGGAGGGTAACAGTCCTGCACCGTCCTCACCACCGTCAGCAGGTCCTCCTTCACACGCTTCCCCATACGACACACCTGTACAGGTGTATTAGTAACATAAGTTCTCCATGTGACACACCTGTACAGGTGTATTAGCAACATAAGTTCTCCATGTGACACACCCGCTCGTTGATGACTCACCTGTCTCTTCAGAGGAGAAGACAGTTCTTCTGTGTCGCTGCAGTCATCCTCAGCAGCCTTCATCAGTCTGGACTCCACCATGTTGTGCAGCAGAGTGTTGTGAGTCCTGAGACACTTCTGAGGACGCCACACCGGAACCTGGTCCTCCGGACACCCGATCCAGCGCCGGTCCTGCGTCTCCTGCTGCTGGATGGAGGCCACAGCACTCCTCAGGACCTTCAAATGCCCGGAGGAGGAGGTGGAGGTGAAGGTGTTGTGGACGGCTATCCACATCTGCAGTCTCAGAGCCTCGAAGTCTTTCTGCAGCTGGTCCTCCTCCTCCTCACTGGGGGAGTCCTGACTGAACAGCTGCTCCTCCCTGATGATCAGCCTCCTGCCGACCTCCTCCAGCTGCTCCTCCTCCTCCTGCTGCTCAAGAGCCTCCTCACAGAACAACTCCCCCTCTGCAACAAACAAAGCATTCTTGTGTTATTATGAACGAGTTCTTGCAGAACCTCAAACTCTGACAACACAAAGCTAGTACACAGTAAGTGTACTCCAGGACCCTCAGGACCCTTCAGGACCTGTGCACCTCCAGGACCCTGAGGACCCTGAGGACCCTCCAGGACCTGTGCACCTCCAGGACCCTGAGGACCCTGAGGACCCTCCAGGACCTGTGTGTTTTGTTGGTTCTGACCCGATGCTGTTCTATCTGATGTTCTGTTGGTTCTGACCTGATGGTGTTCGATCTGAGGTTCTGTTGGTTCTAACCTGATGCTGTTCTATCTGATGTTCTGTTGGTTCTGACCTGATCGTGTTCTATCTGAGGTTCTGTTGGTTCTAACCTGATGCTGTTCTATCTGAGGTTCTGTTGGTTCTGACCTGATGCTGTTCTATCTGATGCTCTGTTGGTTCTGACCTGATGGTGTTCGATCTGAGGTTCTGTTGGTTCTAACCTGATGTTGTTCTATCTGATGTTCTGTTGGTTCTGACCTGATCGTGTTCTGTTGGTTCTGACCTGATGCTGTTCTATCTGAGGTTCTGTTGGTTCTGACCTGATGCTGTTCTATCTGATGTTCTGTTGGTTCTGACCTGATGGTGTTCTATCTGATGCTCTGTTGGTTCTGACCTGATGCTGTTCTATCTGATGCTCTGTTGGTTCTGACCTGTGGTTTCGGTGTGGTTCTGCTGTCTGCGGTTCCTCCAGATCTTTGCAGGGTTCTTTAGTTTGGGGAGCCTCCTCCTCTCTCCTCCTCGGTTCTCCTCGCTGCCTCCTGAACATTCAACACCAACTTTATCGACATGTTCTATTGAACAACACAATCATCATTCTGTGGAGAACGTTGTTAAAAACAAAGAACATTTTATTCAGTCTCATGAAACTTAATCTCTCAGCTCGACTTCTGTGTCTGAGAGCAATGACGTCATATATTCAGAAATCAACATCAACGTCATTAAAACATCAACAAAACGGTTTTTTTACCGGGTTTGATACGAGGTTCAAATGACGTCATGGATCAGTTTTCCGTCGGCGTCACGTTACAGATCAATAATTAAAACCACAGAAGAAGAAGCATCTCCGTTCAGGATCGAAATGACGTAATGATTCAGCAGTTTTCAGTGTTTTAAACGGATCGATCCGGATCAGTCTGCTTCTCATCCTTCAGATAAAAGACGTTAAAACAACAGAGAACAGCTGTTTCCTACCTTCCATCTCACCGACAGTTGATCCTCTGAGGCAGCGGTCCGGAGGGGCGGGGCTAGACACGTGACGAGGAGGAGCCACCTGTCTGTCTCTCTCTCTCTCTGTCTGTCTCTCTCTCTCTCTGTCTGTCTGTCTCTCTCCGTCTGTCTCTCTCTCTGTCTGTCTGTCTCTCCGTCTGTCTGTCTGTCTGTCTGTCTCTCCGTCTGTCTCTCTCTCTCTCTGTCTGTCTGTCTCTCTCCGTCTGTCTCTCTCTCCGTCTGTCTGTCTCTCCGTCTGTCTGTCTCTCTCTGTCTGTCTGTCTCTCCGTCTGTCTGTCTCTCTCTGTCTGTCTGTCTCTCCGTCCGTCTGTCTGTCTGTCTGTCTGTCTGTCTGTCTGTCTGTCTGTCTCTCTGTCTGTCTCTCCGTCTGTCTGTCTCTCCGTCTGTCTCTCCGTCTGTCTCTCTGTCCGTCTGTCTGTCTGTCTGTCTCTCCGTCTGTCTGTCTCTCCGTCTGTCTCTCCGTCTGTCTCTCTGTCCGTCTGTCTGTCTCTCCGTCTGTCTCTCCGTCTGTCTCTCTGTCTGTCTGTCTCTCCGTCTGTCTATCTCTCTGTCTGTCTGTCTCTCCGTCTGTCTATCTCTCTGTCTGTCTGTCTCTCCGTCTGTCTCTCCGTCCGTCTGTCTGTCCGTCTGTCTCTCTGTCTGTCTCTCCGTCTGTCTCTCTGTCTGTCTGTCTTCACATCTTTTATTTTGGTGATTTTATTTTGTCTCTCAGCTTCCTGTTTCCTGTTGTCTCTGGGTTCGGATTTGCTGAGATGAAGCAGGAGATGAATACCTGTGAATCAACAGTAGGCAGAGCTTCTGGAGAGGATGCAGTGGCTCTACAGGTGAGACTGAATAATACACACACTGGGTACATCCCAAGTCTCTTAATTGCATCCCCGTTTCCCTCACTTGCGTCCTTTCCTTGCGTCCTAGTCCCTCCCACCAGGGATGCACGGAGGAAACCATGCGAGGAGAGAGGAAACGAGGAGATATGTTTTAGGAGTCATGAGACGTCCTTTCCTCAGTTGCATCACGTGAAGCGACGTCTGTTTCTGATGACGGTGCTGATGATCACAGCTGATCAGCTGTCAGTCGGCTTTAACAGCTGGAGAGACTTTTGATAAGTTAGTGTCTGTTCACATGATCACTGTACTTAATAACAGTAACTAATAATACTAATAACTAATAAAGACACAGTAATCACCAATGTAGAGGTGTTTCTCTCTGTAGTCTGTTAACAAACTGTGTCCTGTGTTCTGTTTATAAGATCAGGATCCATTTCTACCGGCGGGATGCGATCGTCTTATTTATGAATTATTTGCGTCTGTACGTTTTGAAATTCAGACTATGACGTCGATATTAAATAACAGAGAATATGATTATTGTTTCTCTTAAATGATAAAACTCATCAAACCCGACAATCAGGAATGAACAGCCTCACGTGACTGAATGAAATGATGATAAATGATGTAAAAAGTTTCTCTCTCTCTCTCTCGCTCTATATATATATATCTCTATATATATCTATATCTATATATATATATCTCTATATATATCTATAGATCTATATATCTATATCTATATCTATATATCAATATCTATATATATATATATATAGATCTATATATAGATCTATATATAGATATCTATATAGATATCTATATATATATAGATATCTATATCTATATTTCTATATCTATATATATAGATATATATAGATATATAGATATCTATATTTCTATATATATATAGATATATAGATATCTATATATATAGATATCTATATATTTATAGATCTATATATCTATAGATATCTATATATCTATAGATATCTATATAGATATCTATAGATCTATAGATATCTATATAAAAAAAATAAGTGTTTCGTCTCTCCAGTTCCCTCTGACTTTAATTGTTTTCATAATAAAAGTTCAGATCATGAAAACACAAATCTTTCTAATAAATGAATAAAGTTGTTTGTGGTCCTTTTGTTGTTCAGACTACAATGAACATTCATTTAAACCAGATGTTGAATCAGAAACCTAATCAAATATAAACTAGAGTTTAATCTGTGATCCGTCTTCACTCTGGTGTTAAACTCAGTCATCAGTCCGATCGGCTGCAGCGTCCAATCACATGACAGATGAACAGTGAGGGGGCGTGTCGGCCGTTAAAAGACTTCCTGGAAGTCTGTTCTCGTGGTTCCTCGCTCATGGCTCCTCAGAGATCCCTCCTCCGTCCTCCATCCTCGATCCTCAGAGCTAAATAAGAGCTTTGGGACGGCCGTCAATATGGCGGCGCAGAACAACTTCCGGTTCAAGCGAGGATCGAGGAGCGAGGAAATGAGAATTAAGAGACTTGGGATGTACCCACTGACTTCCTGTAAAGAAACAGTGAACTCGTCCTTTAACCAATCAGGTGCTCCAACAGGTGAGTCCTCTGATTGGTCCCTCCCCCTCCTCAGTTGTGATTCCTCTCTGATTGGTCCCTCCCTCTCTGATTGGCCCCTCCCTCTCTGACAGGTAGAGAGCGGAGAGCTGCGCTGGCCTCCTGATGATGTCAGCAGTGACATCAGAGAGGGCCATGCCCAGGTGACGGGTGAGGTCAAATCAGTGTGTGTACCTGAGCTGGAGTGACATCTTCGGGTGTTTTGTCCCAGGTGTACCTGTGGAGGAGGCCGAGCCAGAGGAGCAGAGGATGGGCGGGGTTTAAAACATCTGCAAACCCAGGCCAAGGGGCGGAGTCAGACGTTTAATTTAATTTTAGTTTTCCATGTCGGAGGGCCCCAGAGGATTCTGGGACATTATATTAATCTATATAATAATATACATGATGTGATTTTTTTTTTTTCATTATATATTTAAAATGTTTGTTTTATTTTGTTTTTGATCTTTTATTAAAACTGTCAAATCAATTTAATTTAGCTTCATTTGATTTATGAGGTGGAAAGTACATTTACTCAAGTACTGTACTTAAGTAAAGTACAAGTACCTCAGAGTTGTACTTGAGTACTTCCATATTCTGCTACAAAATACTTCTCCACTACATCTCAGAGGTACATGTTGTACTTTATACTGTACTACATCTCAGA